GAGATAAGTGACTAAACGTAAACTAAACAGTTGTGGTATCTCTCCTTCTGCCCGCGGCTATTCACATTTCCTATATCTTTCTATAACGCCTTTACTGTGACACTTTGCCGTGCTTCTTTCAATATAGTGAGGTGTGCTCCTTCAAGCGGCATTCATCAAAAACTTTAACACTCCACGGTATCGTTCTCATCCCCTTCACCTTTGTGCTGGGAATGTTGATCAGAGTCTGCCATATTGTTACCTAGTTCTTCTTTTATGGGTCTTATCAGTCTCCCTCTTGTCCTGTAGAATCCGTCTGCTATCTTCCTGGTACACGTATTTCACTCTACCCCTGCCACACCATCTGTGCTACTCGAGGCGTCTATCCTGTTTCTATCCTTAATACTAAATCTATGACTTCTTATGCCCCAGTCCCTTGTGTGCAAACCCACAAACGTTGTGGTTTAACATTGAACCTAATCCAAGCAAGCAGTACCACAAAATTTGTGGGTTGGCACACAAGAGATTAGGGCATGGGAAGTCTAGACTTGGTGTTAGAGATTGAAACAGGATAAACGCGACGGAGACTGGAGCTAGTTGGCTGATAGTAGGCTTTACAAGAGATGTGGTCCATGTAGCAAAGGCATGAGCATGAGGGAAAGGGCGAATAACGCCTCGAGTAGCACAGATTGTGTGACAGGGCTCGAGTGAAATAGGTGTACCAGGGAGATAGCAGACGGATTCTATGGGGCAAGAGGAAGACTCTGATAGGACCCAGGGAATAAGGACTACGTATCAATATGGCAGACTGGTCAACATTCCCAGCACAAGGGTTAAAGGGGTGAGAACGATAGCGTGGAATGTGAAGGGTTTTCATGAATGCCGCTTGAAAGAGCACACAACACTACATAGAAATAAGCACGGTAAAAAGTGTCACAGTGAATGCGTGATAGGAGGATATAAGAAATGTGAATAGTCGAGGGCAGAAGGGGAGATACCACAACTTTTTAGCACACGTTTGGCCACTTGTCTCTAATGAGCTGTACTATGGTGCTAAGAATGGCGAGACTCACTGACGATGCCGGCGAAACGTCTGGGAAAGTACCACCTTTACGGTCCGATTTTGGAAATGATCATGCATACAATGGACTCCGGACTGGGTGCGTTCATCAGTCTTACTACCAATATGACTAAGTTGCGAATATAAGATCAAACAACTTCTATACAACTGCAAACACAAAAGGCCACACTACCTTGGTCTTCATTCCTTCGATTAAATTAATTTATTGAAGTTGTTTGACCTTGTTTTCGCAACTTGGTCATATTGGTAGGGAGAGTTAGAGGAACGCCCCTTGATCTGAGTCCATTGTATATATACTCATTTCTAAAGTTGGACCATGAACGTGTTACATTCCCAGACGTTTCGCCAGCATCGTTGTCGGCATCGTCTGTGAGTTTTACCATTCGTAGCACCATACTTCAACTCGTCAAAAAGACAAGTTAAGCCGATCCTTTGACCAAACGTGTACTAACACAGTTATGGTATCTCCCCTTCTGCCCTGGCCTATTCACATTTCATATATCCTTCTATCACTCCTTCACCGTCACCATTTTTTACTTGCTTAATTAAATGTGGTACGGTGTGCCATTTTTTTAGTGACTTTCATGTCTCTTTCACTTGTCTCTTTGACGAGTTGTAATATGGTACTACGAATAGTAAGACTCACTGACGATGCTGACTTCGATGCTGGGAATGTACTACGTCAACGGTCCGACTTTGGTAATGAATATGTATACATTGGACTCAGATCAAGGTGCGTTCCTCTAAGTCTTCCTACCAATATGAACAAAGTCAAACAACTTGTATACAACGAAAGGAGACTGCGACCACATAAAAGGCCACACCATCTTGGTCTTCATATCTTAAATTTATTGATTGTAAAAAAAAATTAAGAATGCATTATTCTTATGAAATACATATTTGACGAGAAAATCACTTACGTTAATCATTAATAAATCTTTCTTTTAATACACTGCTTATCTTCCCTTAATTTAGTTCTATACTCGGGTTTTTTTTAGTAAATAAAACCTATCTTGTGTCTTATGTCCTTGTCTATTTTTCGTAAGCTTTTATATATTGAGTATCAGTTACAGCAAATAGTCTTGGTAGCAGAATAAATATATTAACATGCTCTTTTGTATACCTCGTATTTCCTTATGACTAATAAATACAGAAAATTTTATCTCGTCCTTTTCCTGTCATCTTGTTTCATGAATTTTATGCTTTTGGCTTTTTGTGTGCTGTCTTCATCAACTAAGTCAGATACACTATTTTTACAAGACAGGTTTTGTTGTAGAGCATATATACAACATTTTGAAGATATACTTTTTCATTAACCGCTTATTCAATAAATTCCGCTCTCATTTACTCTAGTTATTTGGCTCCTGTAATCTTTTTATGGTCCAATAGGTTAAATTTTGCACCGCCTTTTGTTAATATATTATTCATTTTAATTTTATGATTTCTGTATTCTTCGTTTCTGTATTACACTAATCTTTTGATATACCATTACTGCATTTGTCTCTAATTCTTTAGTGGCATTTGTTACCCGAGCCGGACTTTCTCTACGAACGATTGGAGAACTTGCAGATTGGTACATATGCACCTAATATATACACCATAAAACAAGAAGCGCGTCTTATAGATGTATTTCAAATTTTCTTGGAACGACATATTTCTTGTCTACCGGTGGTGGATGTGGACGGTGGCCTTGTCGATATTTACGCCAAATTCGACGTAATTGTAAGCTCGATATCCAATTACTCTGTTCAATTTCTTCTAATTCTTAATTCTAGTCAATAATCGCGCCACAAAAACGCAAATTTAGCTCTATTTTTTCTTTTCACTGAAGACTTTTATAGTCTCACTCTATAATATCAGATGGCAGTTGGTATTTCAAATAGCCTATATTTTTTGGTTACGAGTACATTCACATTTTTCCCGTACTCATTTTCTTATTCACAGACTTCGCCAAAGATGCCCTGTTATATTTTTAATGTCCATTTGTCTAATGAACTCGTTGGTGGTCCTGTGAATTTTTGGCTTCTGTTGGATAAACCTTTTTTCATGGTTGAATTCGTTTTCTCTCACATCGAGTCTTAAAATGATTGGTGAATATTTTATATCATTATATTTATAGAACAATAATTAGTTTAATCCGTTTCCACTGGACTACTTTTTTGTTTTTTTTTGGAAGGTTGCCTTTTTTTGTATTCTTATTCAATGTATAGAACTGATCTAATCTCGTTTTCGCAATTTGGTAATGTTTTCAAGGGGACCTAGTTAGATACACTTTATCCGAATTCCTCTGCCATAGTAATTATTATAATTCCAAGTGTTGGACTCTAAACTTGGTACATTTCTAGATGCTTGTCAACGTCGTCAACACTGAGAATGGCAAGACTTACTGACGATGCGGGCGAAACGTCGGGCAACATATCAAGTCCACGGTCTAACGCTGGGGATTATAATAATTACTATGGGTGTAGAATTCAGACAAGGTGCTTCCAACTAGTGAGTCAATCAAGTTAGAAAACGAAGTTAGATTATTTGTATTAACTTTTTACGTCATTTTACTATTTTGTTAAGGTGCCTCAGTCACCTCTTTAGGCCGTGTGATATTGGTACATTGTTCCTATTTAGGTACTGCAAAAAATGGTTTATTTATTGTGTCCATATTGTTTTTGATTACCAAGCACCGAAGATGGAATAGTATCTTATATGTTATCATTCTTGTACCTAATACTTCCGATACTCAATGGATAACAAGTTAAAGCAAAATAGCCTTATTAGCTTCGAGCATCTTGTAAAAGATTTTCCTATTGCTCACACAGATGATTTTTATCTTGCATTTTTTTCTTTCATTTATATCAAATATATTTTAACATAAGTAGGGTTCGCTAGTTGCTCAAGACTTACTCCACATTTCATGTACATAGGCAAATTTAGACTGCTATTAGAACATGAATTACAGCG